CGGTTTTCAATCTTTGCAACGTACATTTTCTCTTTTCTTTTCATTTCTTCTTCCTGTCCTTTTTTTCTTTATTTTCTTTATTTCCTTCTTTTCTTTCTTTCTTTTCTTGTTTCCTTCTCTTATTTCTTCTTTTTCTGTGTTCCTTCTTTTCTTTCTTTCTTTCTATTCTTTCTTCTTCTCTTCTCAATTTGCATTATTTCTTTCTTTCATTCATTCTTTAACTCCTGGTTTTTAAATATATCTTATATTATTTTTCTTTTGACTGTTAATTATTTATTCCTAAGATATTCAAATGAAGAAGTAACACTTGAGAGGTATTTCCTGAAGGCCCGAGAAACATGTTTGGCTTCAGAACATGTTGCTGAAATAGGATGGATTTGATTAACATGTCAGTTTTCGTTCTCTGTTTTCCAAGTCTCTGTCTGTCTTTTTGTCACCGTCTCTGTGTCTCTTTTTCTTTTTCTGTCTGTCTGTCTCTTTTTTTCTTTCTCTTTCTCTGTCTCTCTCTCTCTTTCTCCCTCTGCACCTTCTTCTCTCTCCCTCCCTCCCTCCGTCCTCTTACCCTCCCTCCCTCCCTCCCTCCGTCCTCTTACCCTCCCTCCCTCCCTCCTTCCTCTTACCCTCCCTCCCTCTCTCCGTCCTTCCTCTTAGCCTCCCTCCCTCCCTCCCTCCTTCCTCCTACCCTCCCTCCCTCCGTCCTTCCTTTTACCCTCCCTCCCTCCTTCCTCCTATCCTCCCTCCTTCCTCCTACCCTCCATCCCCCCCTCCCTCCCTCCGTCCTCTTACCCTCCCTCTCTCCGTCCTTCCTCTTAGCCTCCCTCCCTCCCTCCCTCCTTCCTCCTACCCTCCCTCCCTCCGTCCTTCCTTTTACCCTCCCTCCCTCCCTCCCTCCTTCCTCCTATCCTCCCTCCTTCCTCCTACCCTCCATCCCCCCCTCCCTCCCTCCGTCCTCTTACCCTCCCTCCCTCCCTCCTTCCTCTTACCCTCCCTCCCTCCTTCCTCTTACCCCCCCTCCCTCCCTCCTTCCTCCTACCCTCCCTCCCTCCCTCCCTCCTTCCTCCTATCCTTCCTCCCTCCTTCCTTCCTTTTACCCTCCCTCCCTCCCTCCGTCCTCCTACCCTCCCTCCCTCCCTCCGTCCTCTTACCCTCCCTCCCTCCCTCCGTCCTCTTACCCTCCCTCCCTCCCTCCGTCCATCCCCGCCCTGTATACCGTAGATATTTCCGCAGCATCTCCATCTCTCAGAATTCCGCTCTCACCTCAAAGTTTCATCAGTTTTCGCATCCGTCTGCAGAATCACCTTCCGTGCGTGCATACTCTGCTTGGTATTGTGGTGTTTCGCCGCTGAAAAAATGCTGTGTTACATTACCGCTGAACTTTCTACCCAAGCGGGGAGGCTGCCAACATAGCAAGCACCTCCCCTCCCCCCCTCCCTCCCCCCCTTTCGTCGTACCCCCCTATCCCCCCCGAACCACCACTACCCCTATCCCCTTCACTGACTCCGTCTCGGGCACTTCCCCGTCTTATTTTCTCTTTCCTTTATCCTATTTGTTTCTTGTGTCTTCTTTCTCTTCTTTTTGTTTCTTCTTCCTCCTGATTTTTTTTTTCTTCGCCTTTCTTCTTTACCCACTTCCTCTTTTCTTCTCCTTCTGTTCCTCATTCCAAGGACTTAGTTACCTTTTTCCTTCCCCATTCTCTTCTCCTTCCTCTTTCGCCCCCTTTCTTCGTTTGTCTTCTTTCCTCTACCCCATCTTTATCATCTTCCGCCTTCTTCTTCTTCTTCTCCTCCTCTTCCCTCTTTTCCCCTTTCTTGGCGTCTCTACCGCATTCTAGTTCACTTCGTTGCCACGCCCTTCCTGCCTGCCATCGCGTCTCGTTGCCATGGTTCCCTCCTCTGCCATATCACTGCTTACTTTGCCGGTCATGGTAATGGTGATGGTGATAATATCCGTGATGGTGATGATAATAATGATGATGGTAGTAATGCTGCCGCTGATGATGATGGAGATAATGATAATGATTATAATAATGATTATGATAGTTTTAGTAGTAGTAGTAGTAGCAGTAGTAGTAGTAGTAGTAGTAATAGTAGCAGTAGTAGTAGTAGTACTAGTAGTACTAGTAGTACTAGTAGTAGTAATAGTAGTAGTAGTAGTAGTAGAAGGAAGAAGAGGATAATGATCATAATGATAATGATTACAGTATTGATCATGATACTTACATTGACAATGTTCCTAACATTAATTTTTTTGTTTGTCATTAAGATAGTTGTCATCATTAATAATATAATAGTAACTGAGAGAGAGAGATAGATAGATAGAAAGAGAGAGAGAGAGAGAGAGAGAGAGAGAGAGAGAGAGAGAGAGAGAGAGAGAGAGAGAGAGAGAGAGAGAGAGAGAGAGAGAGAGAGAGAGAGACAGAGACAGAGGCATAGACAGAGAGGGAGAGACAGAAAAAGAGAGAAAGAAAAGGAAAAGAAAAGGAAAGAGAGAGAGAGAGAGA